CCTTCCACTGGTTCACTCCCCTAATAGCCACCATGGCCAGCGCTGCACTGATCCAAAGCCAGGAGCCAGGTGCTTCCTCCTGGTCTCCCATGCAGGTGCAGGTACCCAAGCGCTTGGGCCATCCTCCACTGCCCTCTCGGGCCACAGAAGAGAGCTGGACTGGAAGAGGAGTAACCGGGACTAGTACCCGGTGCCCCAACTAGGACTAGAACACAGGGTGCTGGTGCCACAGGTGGAGGATTAGCCAAGTGAGCCATAGCGCTGGCCAGGTATTATTACTTTTAGCATTGACTCTTTTCTGTTTTGTCTATTCTTGCCTACACATATGTTGATGCTACTGAGAAGTATTTTGCTAATCCACTAATTTTCCCTGCTTTATTTGATCTATAAGCCATCAGCTTTCTATCTTTTTTTGGAAGAAGATTTATTTTATTTATTTGAATGGTGGAGTGATAGAAGAGTGGGAGAGATAGTGAAAGGAAGATTTTCCATCTGCGGGCTTATTCCCCAAATGGCTCCACTCTTGATTCCAGCTTTCTGCTAATGTACACCCTGGTGAAAGCAGCTGATAGCTCAAGTACTTTAGTCCCTGCCACTCATGTGGGAGGCCAGATCGGGTTCCTTATCCTTGGTCTTGGTCCAATCCAGATGTGGTTGTTGTGGACATTAGGGAAGTGAGCCAGTGCTGAAAGCTCTCCATCTCTCTTTGTCTCCATCTGTCTTTTTGACTTTCAAATAAATAAATAATAACCATAATAATAATAATAATTTTAAAGAAGAATGGGCATCACATGAGAGATTTTAAGCCAAGCTAAAGGAACAAGGAAGGTTAGTAAGGTTGCTGAAAAATAGACATTAGGTCAGAGAAGGAAGTAACTTATTGCAGAAAGTATTTCACTTCCAGAAAATCTTAGGATCAAAGAGTCACATGCAGTTTCAGCCTTGGTCTAAAACAAATGGCGCAGAGATTGGAGTTTGGGTCATATGGAATTTTGAGGTCTTGTAAGCACCTCAGACTTTGCTTTGAAACTTCAGAAGAGCCATGCTGAGAAAGAGTGACCATATTTTAAGATCATGAAATTTGTCTCTGGAGCAGGTATTTGACCTAGCAATTGGGATGTTGCTTGAAATGCCCACATACCATATCAGAATGTCTGCGCTACTCGTGGCTCTCATTGTGCAACCTGAGATGCAGCAAATGATAGTTTGAGTAATCGGAGGATCACTGGATAACCATGTGAAAGACCTGGTTTGGGTTCCTGGCTCCTGGCATCAGCCTGGTTCAGGCCCTGTGATTGCAAGTAGTTGAGGAGCGAACCAGCAAACAGATGAGTTTACTCTGTTTCCCTGAAACTACATAAGATTATCTGGCCTCCCACTCTAGTGGCAGGGAATAGGAAACAGCTAGGCTCTTTCAGAATTCTAACTGCTATTTCCTTCTTGTTTATCGGCATCCAAATAGTGAGAAGAGTCACATGCAGATATGAGGTTATCCCTCTCTGCACAGACTTCCCCTCAACATGCAGGCATTCTTGAAGTCCAAACTCCTTTTTTATGACTCTGACCCAATAAAATCAAGGCTTTCTTCTTAAATTACGGCCTTTCAGTGTTGCTGTCTTTTCCTTTAGTGGAAAGCTGAATAAACAAAGATTTCACCCTGCATAGTTTCCTTCTTTCAGAGTCGCATCGTTTCCAGACTCAGTCTGCATTTGGTCCCTTTCCAGTGCATTCAAGTTGTTGTTTTTAAAGAAATGTTCCTGGCCTTAAAATGTTAAGCCAGGAAAGTTATCTAGTACAAGATACATTGCTTTTACCAAAATCAGAAAATCCTTTAAATTTAAAATTTTTGCTTTGACTTTTAGTTCTTGAAGTTACATAGAATTGATAACTGCTTATGATAGAATACAGTGATCAAATTTAATATTTTCTATTCATAAAAATTGTCAAATACTAATTGTTGAATATACTAATAATTTTGTAATAATCTCTATGTCATATAGTATATGTGTGTGTGTGTGTGTACTATTTGTGTACTCTATACATTTTTTATTCTATGCTGCTATACTCAGTTGCTCACCAGTTAGGTACTGCTGCTCCAGTATCACAAATTTTAAATACCTTTGCTTTTAAAAGTATAATTGCTTATATGATAATTAAAGGACACAAAATATTCTTCTTCCTCAAGACTATCTTTCTGTTTGGGGGAAGTTGCTCTACCAGATTACCAGATGAATATCAAACTTTTATCATCATCCCCTAGAAATCAAAACCAACCAAACAAAAACATCCATTTATATGAACATGTAATAAATTATGAATTTGTGGAAAATGGTTTAATAGTACACTGAGCCTTGAAACTGAATTAGTTGAATTTTAGTATTTCAAATAAATACTAAAATTATGTCATACTTTGCCAAATCCATCTCATTACATTTATTTCTGAACATCTTATATGTGCTATAATATGACACAACAAATGCATTTGTCCAATTATATTTCTAGTTATTATTGATACAGAAAAAACAAATGGAATTATAAAATTTATTTAGATCTAGAGAAAACTCTACCTTCTCATCTTAGCTTTTGCTGTTTGCATGTCTATTCTTTTGTATTTTTTCCATGACCTGTCACATGGATTTTATCTGAAGTGAACTTATAACATACTTTTTGATTTGATAAAATTGCTCTGTTGTGCATCTTTCTATGCAGGCACGCCCTAGAGGGCACAGCAGAATGGAAGATGGAAAGGTAGGCTTCCTTCCTAAAGGGAAAGCTGCTAATGACTTAACAACTAAGCATTGTATTTTCTATAGCTTTTAGTGGAAATTATCATTTTATTAAATTTTTCTCTTATCTCTGTGTCTTAGAGATTTTAAAATTTTATGTGCCCTCATAGCATCGAATGAAATGACTATATTTTAATAATTTCTAAATGTAATGAATTATGTTAAAGTATTTTCTAAAACCAGTGAACATTTGTAATACTGGAAAATAGTCTGTTCACTGAGAATTATTTTTAAAATTATGACTGCATTTTATAAATTTAACTAAGATTTTCTTTTTTTTTCTTTCTTTTTTTTTAATGAATATAAATTTCCAAAGTACAGCTTATGGATTACAATGGCTTCCCCCCCATAACGTCCCTCCCACCCGCAGCCCTCCCCTCTCCCACTCCCTCTCCCCTTGCATTCACATCAAGATTCATTTTCGATTCTCTTTACCTACAGAAGATCAGTTTAGCATATATTAAGTAAAGATTTCAACAGTTTGCTCCCACACAGAAACATAAAGTGAAAAATAATAGATGATTTTTTTTAAATGATGATGAAATCAGATCAGACCTATTGTCATGTTTAATCCCAGTGAGAGTCAAGTTGGGAATTGATAATTTCTTTTTTTTTTTTTACAGATTTTATTTTTTTTAAAGTTGTAGTCATTTATTTGGAAGGTGGAGTGACAGAAAGGAAAAGAGGGAGACAGAGAGGGACAACTTCCACCCACTGGTTCACTCCCCAAATGGTAGCAATGGGTTGGCCAAAGCTAACTCCAATGGGTCTCCCACATGAGTGGCAGGAGCCAAACACTCAGACCATCTTACACTGCTTTCCCAGGTGCATTAGCAGGGAGCTGCATGGAAAGTGAAGCAGTCAGGGCTTTAGTTGGCTCTCATAAGAGATGCAGGCATCACAGGCAGCCGCTTAACTCCCTGTACTACAACACCAGCCCCTTAAATAAGATTTTCAGGGCCATTTTTATAGAATGTTGGCCTTAACATTCTTTTTCGGGACACCATGACTTTTCATTTCAGTACCCATTTACATTTCAGCATTTAGCGGTTCTGACTGGAGAGTGGGAAAACGCAGCAGTGTGCAGGGTACCTAGCCCGCCAACCTCGGGGATCTGCCATGCACCCCGAGTTCTTTCTCAGTCCTTGCCGAACACCGAAAGAGGCCGCAGCACCAGCAGCAAGGTGCACGAATGGAAGGTTCTTTTTGTTACAGTTGTCTGATTCCAAACCAGACCCAACGCACTGCGAGGACAAGTGACCAAGCGACAGCCTGTTTAAAACGTCTTCAATGCTGAAAACCAAAACAATTACAGGAAAGGAGAACAATTCAGAGAGCTCCTGTGTGCACAAGGGTCTCCCAGCAGCCTTTCCCCAGGTTGAATGACCAGAGACTTGGAAAGCTGGCAGATCTGAGCTACCATGCTGATGCCGTTCTGGTCACTCTATCAGACCCTGGGCTGCAAGAACACATCAGCGGCTGAAGAGAGGTGGAGAGTGAGTGAATGTGGTTCCCAGACTCCACCAAAGAGGTGGGAGACTCTCCATCCTTCGCTGATGGCTTCTGGCCAAAGCAAGGAAGTGCACGGGGATGCTGGGTGGTGACAACTGGGAGTTGAGGAGGGGGGACATGAAGATGGCTTGAAGCGGGCATCATTTAAGACTCAAAAAAAATCCGGGTGCAGACAAAGCACCCCAATACCCAACAGTAGTCCCACAGGCTGCCACCTGAAACCTTCACCTCCATTCTAAGGAGGCACCTTAAGCTGGAGGGCTGATGTGGGTTGGGGGCAGGGTAGAAAGCAAAGACCCAGGCCAGGTTATCAGCAGCAAGCTGCCTGTGTGATGTGTCTTTTCATGCTTCAGTTGACTGTGTCCCACCCGTGATGATGGGAATCAATTTAAATATGAATTCTTGGTCGTGGAAGTGTGCACAGTGGTTACACGTGAGAAGATGATGTAATAGCACAACTTACATATTTCAAATGGACAAAAAGCATTAGTGTCGCTTACAGAATCTTCAGATAAATGGGAGTTCCACTTCCAGTACTTTGAGGTCGCTAAGATGAACCTAGAGAATTTACTGCTGTGGAAATTGAAGACTGATCAAACCGCATAGCAAGGTGGCGGGCAGGGCCTGTGCCTGGCCTCTCTGGTTAGTTACTGTAGCACTGTCCTTAGGGTGGCTGAGGGAGCTTTGTATTCTCTTAAGATGTCAGCAGGTGCCGCAGCTCTCACAGCAGACTTTGATGCTGTATGAGTTCTGCCGTTTTGCTAGTACTGATACGGCTCTTGGATCCATCACTCCCTTAGAACTGTTAACTCCCTTCATACTAACTTTTCTACAAATCATACAAAGGGGGGGTGTTTCTGGATATTTAAGTCCACATTCTATTTTAAGGCTGTATATTTGGGTTTTGTAAATTGTTCTTGGAAGCCTAGTTATCACCTCTGTCCATCTTGTAAGTATCATATCTCCCTCATCTGCTAGATCACAGCTAAGTTTGCCATCTCCTACTCTTTTCTGACTGTCTTTGAATCCTTCCAACAGTGAGAAATTGCAAGGGACATTTACCCTTGAGTGGTAACTGCCATCTTGCATTGTTCTTTAAGACATTTTAATCAAATATGTTTCTTGCATAGTTTTATATCATAATTATAATTAGTCTAAGAATAATTTAGTGTTGTACCTAATTTTCTTTACAAAAAGAAAATCGTATAAATTTGGAACATTGTTTTGAATATTTGGTTATAAATCACTTATAATGACATTTGCTCTTTTGTGAGAATAGAATTTTTTAAGACAAGTTCACGTTTTTCAATTTTTATTTAACTTTATTACACTTTTAGATAGAATTGATGCATTTCCCTGAGAAAATTATCCAGATCATCTGAGTTTTCCTGTGTTAGTATCATGAATTTACAATAATCTATTTGCATATCATTCTCTATAATACATATCCATACATATGATTGATATTTACTATTGTGCCATTTCTCAATTTTTCCTTTTAGTCCAGCCAGTGTTTGCTACTGCAATGTATGCTTTTTTTTTTTTTCAAAAAACTATCCTTTACTTTGATACTATAGGATTTTGTTTGGTTGGTTCTTATTGTATTAATTATTATTCTTATTTTTAACATTACATTATTATGACATATTGAATGAAGGTATAATTATCTTTTTGGCAAGTGAGTGAATAATGCGATGAATGCAGCCAAACCCTGGGATTGATAACATGAGAAATAAACTCAGGATTTCACAGGAATTCAGAAAATTTTCCACCTTTTTCAGCAGAGAAAAATAGATATCTATAAATTAGCATGGAAATATGACAGTCTATAAAAATCCACATGAGAGATTTTATTTACAGGTATGCATTTATATTATAATAAATAAAAAATGTCTTATAATGCCTTATAGATTATTTTAAATTGTAAGAATGATAAAGGGATTTTGGAAAAAAAAATGAAAGTTTTGTGTGAGCATTATGACACAGTGTGTTAAGTGCCATTTTGGATGCCTGCTTCCTGTATCAGAGTGCCAATTGTTCTGCTTTTGTTCCAGCTTTCTGTTAATGCATCCTGGGAAACAGTAGATATTAGCTCACGTGCTTAGGACCTCATCAACCACACTGGAAAGATGGACATAGTTCTGGGCTCCTAGCATGGCCTGATGTAGGCCTTATTCTTGTGGGCATATGGGTAGTGAATCAGCACATGGAAGATCTCTCTCTCAAAATAAATTTACCAAAACATCTGTATTTTTCATAGTTGGTGTTGACACAGTAATGGAACAAAAGTTCAGTGGAACAAGAAAAATTTAACCCAAAATAGATACAGATATAGACAAGGATTATTATGAGATAAAGGTGATGTTAGTAATCAAATGAGATGAATATGATGAATATATGGTTTTTGTTCCTTTGTTTGTTTTACAGGCAGAGTGGACAGTGAGAGAGAGAGACAGAGAGAAAGATCTTCCTTTTTCCATTGGTTCACCCCCTAATGGCCGCTGCAGTCAGCGCACTGCGGCTGGTGCACTGCGCTGATCCAAAGCCAGGAGCCAGGTGCTTCTCCTGGTCTCCTGTGCGGGTGCAGGGCCCAGGGACTTGTGCCATCCTCCACTGCCTTCCCAGGCCACAGCAGAGAGCTGGCCTGGAAGAGGAGCAACTGGGACAGAATCTGGCGCCCTGACTGGGACTAGAACCCTGGGGTGCTGGCACCGCAGGTGGAGGATTAGCCTATTGAGCCGCGGTACTGGCCAAATATATGTTTTAATTAATTGTTCTTGGTGGGGCCTGTGATACTGCACTGTGGGGTAAACTGATCATAATGCTGGCTTCCTATATTGGAGTGTTAGTTCAAATCCCAACTATTCCGCATTTACCAGCTACCTGCTAATGTGCCTGGGAAGTGAAAAGAAGATGGCTCAAGTACTTTGGTTCCTGCCATCAAGGTGGGACAAATGGCATTCCTGGCTCCTGGCTAAGGCCTGGCCCAGACCTGGTGGTTGTGGCCATTTAAGGAATGAACCAGTGGTTAGAAGACTGATCTCTCTCTCTCTCTCTCTCTCTCTCTCTCTCTCTCTCTGTCACCCTGCCATTCAAATGGATTTTAGTAGATTAAAATAAATAAATATTCTTGGGGCAACTGATATTCTATTTAAGATACACACATAAGGATCTTCAAAAAGTTAATGGAAAATGCATATAATGAAAAAGTTATAAATTTTGAAACTATTTTGCATGAAATCAAACTAATACTAACATTTTATAACATGTCTAAATAGGATCTAGTTTGAGGAACTAAGAAGAATAAGAATTCAGCTGAAAAAGACTCCTTCAGAGTAATGCGAATTCTGCTAAAATTTAGTAAGAGTAAACATTAAATTTGTGGTGATGCTTGAGTAGAAGGATGGTGAAAATATTGATGCTTTCTGAAAATTTCATGAGAGCAAAACTCCAAAAGGATTGGCAGTTTACAAATGGATAATTCGTTTTAAGAACTATTGAAACAACATTGAAGATCAAGCTTGGAGCAGCATACTATCCATATCAATTAGTGAGGAAAAAGTTAGTCTTTTCATATGCTAGTTGAAGAGTTTAAAAGAAGCAACAATAGTCAACACCATAAACTTCCCAATTCTTACTTACAATTAAAGTGGAGCTTACTTTTTTCTGAATGGGGACTAAAATCTTTGTAGTCAATGAATATAATGAATAAATAGGAAAAAGATGCTTTAGAGTATAACTAGAAGCAGATACTTCAAATTTCTTGCTCCTATGCTACTCTATCAGGAAAAATTACCTAAAGACTCAATTCATTATTAATGCTAAAAATCATATTAATGTTTAACATATGTTAATGTATATTTAATTACCATTGAACACAGTCCCAGAATTTAATTCCCTATACTTGGATTACTCTCTGATTAGTTGGGAAATTCCCAGTTGCTACTTGGAATGTGGAAGAATCTAGGACCAGCCAGCAATATATCTGAAAATAAGGGAAAAAACCTCCATCCTAGGGTCAATTCTATCTATGAGGTCGTTCTTATTTCCACATTGAAGTGCTTTGGTTGGGTGAAAATGGCAATGCTGACTGGCTTATGTTACCAAGGTCACAGAAGGGGCTCACCTTTCATTGAGAGCCACTTAGAGACTTCAGCACAGCATCCTGATGAGAAAAACTTCAGACTCCAACTTGCTCATGATCTGTCTGAGTGAACTGATTGGTAATCAATGCTATTGCATTCTGCATCTTTGCTTCCAGAATAACTCAATATCTCCAAATCAAAGGAGTAAAAAACACAGAACAAAAAAATTAGATGTAATCAGAATCAATTATCCAGATGGGTCATTAGTATTAATTTGAATTACTATACAATAGAATAGTCATTTCTTTTTTTAAGTTTTTATTTAATGAAAACATTTTTTCATAGATACAACTTTAGGAGTATAGTGGTTCTTTCCCCTATACTGCCCCCAACTCCCATCCCACCTTCCTCTCACTGTTCCATCTCCTTCTTCATTATTGTTCACTTTTAGTTTGACTTTATATACAGAGGACCAACTCCATGCTAAGCATAGACTTCAGTAATTTGCACCCACACATATACACAACATATAGAGTACAGTTTGGGAAGAAAATTTGCAGTCGATTCTCATAGTACAATTCATTAAACACAAAAGTCCTACATGGGGAGCAAGTGCACAGTAACAATTGACACTCTTATTTATGAAGGATAGTCATTTCTAAAAGTGAATTTTGAGCCCCCTAATGGTAACCTTTTTGAAGAAGATATACCATTGGATATATATAATTTTTATTAACTTGATTGCTTAATTTTGATTAGCTATCTATTTGAGAAACTTTATTCAGACCCATTGCTAAATAATTCATGCATTTTTGATGTAGTAATGATTAACATGGAACACAGGGAAGGCATCCGCCCATATATGCAGTGTGTGTGCAATTGGTACATAAACATTCACATACACACACATCTGAAAAGAAACATCTGCATTTATTTAAATGGCTGAAAATAGCAAAAAGCTGAACAATGTCCACAGATTTATAAATTTCCATTCTGACAATCGAGAACCAAACTAAGACACAAACCGAAATCTTGTCTCACATAAAATGTAATGAAACTTTATTTCCTTAACCAATACAAGTCAATTATATGGCAGGACTCACAACCAAAACCAGATAAACTCTCTGGGAGAAATTGGGAATTTACCTGAGAAGGAAAGAGTAGCTGGAATAGTATCAGCTAAAGCTGTTGATGTGAAATCATATAACAGTTCAGATGAAAATTTAAAGTCATCTTTTCTAAGTTGGCACATAAAAACAAATTACATATGGTTCATGGCTTCAACAATCACTTCAGGAAGCATTCTGTACACTCTCACCTGAGGTACAGACTCCAAAACCCCTATAAAAGGATCATCTCCATATTTAGTCATAGCTACATGACTATGGCATACTTCTGTATCCTTCCTTTGACTTCCCACTGAACTACATACATAACCCTGGATTTTTATTATACTGGTTTGAAACACATCTTGTCTCTACTTACACTTCAGTTTAACTGTAAGGGCTTTTATCGAGTGAGGAGGCTCTGGGATGTAGTAAAAGTGGATTTCAGATGATAGATATGTATTCATAGAGTTCTTACTGGGAACCCAGGTGCCTGAAGCACTTCATTTGGCTTTTGACATTAATCAGAAATTAGCTAACACTTCAGAGGCATGTTTTAATACATGGATTTCTTTATTTGAAAGGCAGAGTGACAGAGAGAAAGAGATCTTTGATTTGATGGTTTACTCCACAAATGCCCACACAAACCAGTAGTGGGCCAGGTCCATGCCAGAAGCCAAGAACTCCATCTGAGGCTCCCATGCTGATGGTCAGAATCCAAATACTTGGGCTATCATCTTCTGTCTCCCAGACACAGGAGAAAGAAGATGGATGAGAGCACTGAGTAGTGTGAACTCATTCAACATAAGATGCAGGTGTCCCAAACAGTCGCTTAACCTGGTACATCACAATGTCTGCCCACTGAAGCATTTTTCATAGTGAAATTTTATTCCTTTACAAGATAAAATACAGTTTGAATAGACCACGACATCTTTAAGAACTGGGTCTATTTTCTTATTTAGTATATTGCTCAATATACTATAAGTGGTCAATGAATGTCAGATGAAAGAATCAAAAAGTGAAAAAAAGTCAAACATACCTTACTTAAATAAATTTGTTCTCAACTACTTATGTAATACATATTGCTGAAATATTTAGCCTGATTATACAACTTTCAAAAATCAAACTATTACTGAAATATCTTTGATTTCCCCCATTAGATTCATGAGAAGTAATGTGTTGAATTTACTTTAAAATTTAAATCTAAGCTTCCTATTTCCAGTTTTTGCTAAGGGTGTTTTTAAAATAAAGTCTTAGTTTATTTTAAATTTTAAAAAATATACCAAACAATATTTTTAGTTCGCAGTTTATATTTCTTAGTCACAGTGTTTCTTACTCTTAGTTTCTCTTAAGTTCCAGATCTTTCCAAATCTATTTCAACCAGTCTTTATTCCAGCAAATTAGCCCCACATCACTGAGTTTCTCTTGTACTTATTATAAAGGATTTTTGTTTTTGTTTTTCTATATGACACTTCTGCAATAGCAGCCTTGAAAAAAATACTAAAACCTTTTCTCTACTTTTAGCTTCATGATAATATTTCTTCTTTATCATGGCATTTAATTAATTGTGTATGTTCAAGTAAACCCATTTTCTCCAAACTTTATCTTCCAGTTTGTTTTGCAGCCTGACAATTGACAGGTAATAAAATGTTTAGATCAGCACTTTTCTATAAACTTATAAAAAGTGAGACTTGGTGTCAAGCTCTCTCAGACTTATTTAATCACTAAGAGTGGAAAGGAAGACGGATTTTGATTAAGACTTGCTAAAGCGATCAATAAAGACCTTGAACTTGCATAAGTCAGCACTGATGCAGTGATAGCCTGAAAGTCAACCTTTGAACTATGAGCATAAAGTGAGCAACAGAGAACTTGACCAAAGGTGGTTTTTTCCTGTAAATATTATTTCAAGTTTTATTCTGAGCATTCAAATTTAGCTTTTTTTTTTTTTTTACTATTGTCATTATTTTCCTTTCGGAAATTTATTTTTCTACCTTATCATTTAGATAACATTATTCCCAATGTTTTATTATAAGTACAAGTCGGGGTAATCACAGAAAGAACTCAGCTGCATACCTGTTCTGCCCACCAGTTTTACAAATCCCAATTAAGATGAAGTAGGTGAAGTTCAAAAGGCAGGTAAGGTCAAAGTGAAGGTGTACTACTTCAAAATCCTCAAGATACATTGGATATGAGACTTAAACAAACAAGAAATTACTTTCATTGATTAAATGTAGATTGAATTAGGAGGAAAAAAATGATAGACATGGCTAAGGTTATGTCCTCCACTCATTGTTTAACTCAGCATGACTGATTCAATCTACTGAGCCCCAAGGAAAGCCAAAGATGTCACTCATGGACTTCACACAATGCAGGATCCTTGGAAGAGCAAAATCGAAAAGTTGCACTTTATCCACTCACAGCCTGGAGCCACTGTTCTCATTCCGTCTTGTGTTAGCAGAACAATGAACTGCAGCAGGCATTGGGCTGCTCCGCATAATAATTATAGGTATCCCACAGGCAAAGCTGTTGTTGCTTTTAAGACTTGACAGAATGTGTCTTGTAGGCATGACCTAGCAGATGGGGACTTTTTCCTTTCATCTTTTCCCAAAAGCCACCTAGGTGAAATATATAAAGCAACTTGATAAGGGATATATTTTCTCCGATAGGGGTAGGTTGATTACTATAAGCTGCTCTTCTTGTTCATTCACCTTAAAAATAATTGCCACTCTGTGGTGGAAGAAGTCAAGTATAGCCACAGAGGAAGGGGTAGACCTTTTGCTCTATCCTGCTAATTTGTGTCACCTACTGCACTGCCTTA